GGCTGTGGGCAGTTAGCCTGCCGCATTGCATTCTAATCACTTTGCCACTCAATATCCAAATGCTTATCTTGTGGAAATAACTGGCTATGAACTATTGTCAATTTTTAAGTCCCATAGATAAAGAGGTCAGAGTTCTAGAAAGCACAAATGCCAACTACTGTCAGTCTCTGAAACCAGAATGCTTTGATGACCAATTTTTCTACTTCCTGACTGTCAGCTTGTGCTTGCTGCCATAAAATTGTGGGGGGAGGGAACTATGGAGAGTTTTAAATGGCAGTTTTGCAACTGTGCTTATGTTATCTATCTTCAAGGACAATGTAGTTGGCTCTGGGAGGCGGTGGCAGATAAGACGAGTAACCATGTCCCTGGAAGGGGCGGCGGGGGAGTGGATGGTGTCCCTCCACAATGACAATGCCCCCCAACTGTGGAACTATGATCACTTTATGGCAGCCCTTCTCCAATGATTCAAGGATCCACTGGCTGAGCACAAGGCTAGGATCCGGATAAAGACCATCACCCAAGGGCGACAGTCAGTGACCATGTACACGCAGGAATTCTGAGAATTGGCATGCCAGGTGGCCACATGGTCTGAAGGCATCCTCATTGACTGCTACAAAGATGGCCTCAATAATAACATCTACCACACCTGCATCTTGCGTGGGGCCCCACGAACCCTGCAACACTGGTATGTATTGGCAGCAGAAGTGGAGATCAACCTTGCCCAGGACCGATGCTGGAGGGCCAGAAAATGGGTTAAGTCCTTCCCTCCCACACGTAAGGAACACCCAAGGAGCCTGATGTGCCTCAAATGTGGGGAAGAGGGGCACCGAGCTGCAGCATACCAATCCAGCAGAACCAACCTCAGTGCCATGGCAACCCTGAGGGAAGAGGCAATGAAACTAGCTCAGAGGACCTGAGAGATAGCACTGAAAGGTCTGGAGGTTGTAGAGTTCACCCCTCCTGGCTCTGATGAGTTAGGAACTCTGACCAACTCGAGTGAGGCTGACAGTGACGGCGATAATGGTCTCTTGGTAAGTCAATGGGTGACCCCTGTAATCCTCCTTGTGAAGTTAGTGGTACCCTTTTGGGGGCCCAAGGGAGGATGCTGGCTTTATTGGACTTGGGTTGCATTAGGTGCAGCCCTAAAGTCATCAAAAAAATGGGATTGAAATTCAAATGGCTGGGAGTGCCCATAGCATTTTGCCAGCTAGATGGGACTGTAGCTGGAAGGGGGCCCAACTCACTTTATAACTGAACCAGTAGAGATGAGAATGGGAAATCATAAAGAGACTCCAAGTTTTATAGTGGCACCAGGGATGGAGAGGCCCCTCCTACTTCGACTGTCTTGGCTGCAGAAATGGAAGTTTCACCTGAAGTGAATTGGAGGAGGGTTTTTTTTAAAGATTCTGCAGAAAGTGGCCAAGGAAGACGAAAAGATCCCAACGCCCGATGGTGAGAAAAACAAAGGGCAAAGGGAACTGGGGGCAGCAACTCAGGATCACTCAATGAGCAAATCCAAAATCCCAAAGAAGTACTGGGACTTGAGAGATGTATTTAGTGAGAAAGGCTCTAATGCGCTCCCACCCCATCGCCCCACGGATTGCAGTATTGAAATCCTTCCTGGAGCTAAACTCCCAAAGCCTAAACTTTACTTGATGACTCCATGCCAGCTAGGAGAGCTTTGCACCTTCATAGACAAGAACTGAAAACATGGATTTATCCAACCAGCAAGGCCACAGGTGACAGCCCCAGTTTTGTTCTGGGAGAAGAAAGATGGGACTCTTTGTCTATGCGTTGATTATAGTGGGCTAAATGCAGCGTGCATAGAAAATGTCTGCCCATTGCCACTGATGAAGGACATGCTGGTGCATCTCGCCAAAGGAAAAATCTTCACTAAGTTAGACTTGCTGGAAGCTTACTACTGGGTGCGAATCAAGGAGGGTAATGAATGGAAAACTGTGTTTAATTGCCCCCTAGGATGTTTCCAGTTCTAGGTGCTCCCTTTCAGCTTACAGGGCTCCCCCGCAGTGTTCATGCAACTAATCAATGAGGTGCTGCATGACTTTTTGTACAAGGGAGTATTGGTGTATTTGGTTTATATTTTAATATACACTGAAGTGAGGGAGGAACATGTGAACTTGGTGCAGGCAGTCCTTAAAAGGCTCCGAGCCGCTGAACCAGAGGTGGGATGCTACCGGTTCGGCCCAGTTCTGCCGAGCTGGTAGCTCGCAAGATCAGCTGAGACCAAACTGGTTCTCTCCAATGATCTGCTATTGGGCCCACCCGCCTGCCTGGGCTCCCATACTGACCTTTATTTCCTGCTTTTGAAGTGCAGTTGCACAGCACATTGCCACACGGTAGCTATTAAAGACACAGGGAGAGTGCAGGATTGCAGGAGGTGTCTAGATTGCCCCAATACAAAGGTGTTAAAGCTGAAGTGGTCATACCTGTTATTCCCTTGAAGCAGCTAGCAACCCCAGTAACCACTAGAGCTCAGGGGAGGGAGGAGTCTGAGATTCCAAATGAACGGTGTGAGAAGCTCAAAGAAGTACTAAAAGCTGATGAATGGCTCACGACTCACAAAAATGACTGCACCATGTGTGATGGACTGGCTTGGGTCGGGGCCAAATTATACATGCCCTCATGCTTGAGAAACACTATATTAAAGGGCACCCATGACTCTAAGTCAGCAGAATTTTGGATTCGTAAAAACCCCGCACTTGGTTAAGAGGCAGTTTTGGTGGCCTTCCTTGAAGAAAGACATTGAAAGCTATGTGGCCAGCTGTCCAATTTGTGCTGCAGCAAAGAGACCTCCGGAGAAACGCACAGGACTTTTACAGACACCGTGGAAAAAAATAGCTATGGACTTAATTGTGGAATTGCCTGAAAGTGGGGGAAACACTGGTTTTTGGGTTGTTATGGATCTCTTTTCAAAACAGGTGCACTTTGTTCCCTGCCCCAAAATTCCCTCTGCAAAGACATTAGCTAAACTCTTGGTACAACACACATATAGGTTGCATGGTGTCCCTGAGTGCATTATTTCCGATAGAGGAGTGCAATTTACATAGCAGTTTTGGCGAGAATTCTTGAAGCTGTTGGGAACCACCCAGGGCTTAAGCTTGTGAGACAACTAACACAGTCCTGGAACAGTACCTCAGATGCTACATTAATTACCAACAGGACAATTGGGCTGACCTGTTGCCTTTTGCAGAGGTAGCATATAACAATTCTGTGCATAGTAGGCACAGGTTTCACCCTATTTATGGTGGCTTCCGGTCACAACTTTGTAGCTATGCCAGAGCTGCCTCAAGAGAAAACAAACGTACCCTCCTTAGTGGAGTGAATAGTACAACTGCAGAACACTTGACCAGTAGCCCGTAAGGCACTGGAGGAGGCACATCAGGCACATAAGAAACAAGCTGACGAAAAACGTGTCAAGCCAAAAGTTTTTCAAGTAGGTGGCAGAGTTTACCTCTCCACAAAGTATTTACAGTCTACCCAACCATCTAAGAAACTTGGTACTAAATATGTGGGGCCATTCCCAATTGTTAAAGTAATTAACCCAGTCACTGTGCAACTGGAGTTGCCCAAGAACCTAAAGCGTATTCAACCCTGTATTTCATTGCAGTTTGTTGAAACCTGAAACTGTATCACCCCTTTTCCCTGCACCTGACACTCCTCCTGTACCCACTCTGATTGAAGGAGAGCAACGTTTCGAAGTTAAAGAAATTCTAGATTCCGGGAAACAGAGAGAGAGAGAGTCCAGTATCTCATTTCTTGGAAACATTTTCCACCTGCGCAGTCCAAATGGGTGGATGCTAAACATGTCCTGGTGCCTAAACTCCTCCAGACTTTTCATAGAAAATACCCCAACAAACCCTGAAGGGATCGCCAGTTTTGGTGTGATGTATTGTATGTTTTCACTTTATAATTTTGTATGGCTCATGCCTCAGTTACAAGGGGCTGAATGTCAGCCAGCCTGTGCTTGCTGCCATAAAATCGGGGGGAGGGGACTGTGGAGAGTTTTAAATGGTACTTTTGCAAATGTTATTTATCTTCAAGGACAATGTAGTTGGTTTTGGTATGCGGTGGCCTCTGGTTGCCTGGCTACAGGGGCTGGGCTATATACTATATTTCAAAATGTTCCCGCTCTGTGCCAGAGCTTGCTTGAAACCGTTTGAGTTCAGTTTATTCCTAGTAAAAGGACTTTTCTCTAAATCTATGGAGCAAGGATTCTCCTTTCCTAGGAATTGAACAGACGCAGCCCTGATACTGACCCAGTAATCTGCATTTCTTTACTTTGCCTTGCAATCATACCAATGTTTAAGACATATTTAAAAGAGGCACACTAACATATTTAAAAATGGGAATACATGATCAGCAATTTGAGAAACAAGCTCAGTGAACTGAAAACCATCCAAAAATTTAGTTGATAAAGAAATGTATGAGCCATTTCTTTGCTGAAGAACATAAGGTCATATGCATATGGAACTATTTAGTGGGGCCGGTTAACATTTTTTTCTCAAATAGTTGTTTTTGAGATCATTTAATTGAAATAGAATTTGCCATGCCAAACATAACTCTACTTTATGATATTCCCCTTCCCGCACAAAGTACAATGAAAAGAAACTTTGAAATGAGCATTTTCTGCAGGAACTCCTTTCTTATGGAATGTCCTCCCATCAGAAATACTGCTGTTTAAGATAATTTTTAACACCACACTACAAAGAAAATTTGGTTGCTGAAATGTTTGGTTGTCCTTCAAACAATAGCAGGCATTGGTAATATGCACACACACATACACACACACACAATGATTATTAGGTTATTATTTTATACTTGTTTGGAGTTACTGCATGTTTGTCCTCTATCATTTTTCTGCTTGGAAACCACTTAAAGTTGCAAATGAAATGGCATCGAAGTCTTCATAAATAACCAAACAAAGTTATTCACACTTAAATATTTGTGTTAAGGTAAGGATTTTTTTTTTTACAATATACCTGGCATAATAATATTGGAAAAGCCCAACTTCCTTGCTATTGAAACTCCATGGGTAAACATGGATGTATAGTCTCTCCTGATTTGTTCAATGTCTCCATGGAGTAGCTGAACAGAGACAGCTAGGCCTAAAAACAAGAAGAGAAAAATAGATCACAGTCAGTAGATTGTTACTTTGTAAGATTCAGACACTCTACATGTTTATCAACTAATATGGGAAGTGAAGAAACTCAAACAAGAAACATATACACTATTAAAGATACATTCAACATAATGAATCTGACCAGCATCCATCTGCTGGAGTCCTCCTATTTTCAAGTCTATGGAGTAAATTTTGCTATCCAAAGAGATTGCAGAGGTGTTTAGTATTTGTATAAACTTCATTTGTACATAAAATTAACACTAACCAAAATAGGAATTTCTACCTATTTTGAGGTGATGATTACATAATAAAGAAATAGTATAAAGGAAAAGGGAAAAAATCTTTTCTTTCTGCTAATATGTTGATTCATTTTTAAATGCATTGCATTAGGAAAACATTCCTAGATGCAATATTACAATCATTATGGTATTTAATTATTTTAAAAATCTGAATCATTTCCCAGCACCTTGTAATATTGTTTTTCTTCTGAAAATGTGTAAAACTTCATATTTAATTAGGGCTTTAATAATTTGTCAAGGATGTCATCTATGAAAGCATTATTTAGCAAAATCAAAAGTAATTGTTTCCTTATCACATTCACCTAAAGCTATTTTTACTTGTTCAGATTCGACATTTAGTGAATAAGACTTCAATGGGTGAAGACAGGGCAGCTTCATACTGATTCTGCCCCACAGAAACTTGTTGCTTGAGAATGTGTAGTGATGATGTTTTTCTGGAATATAATTAAACTAAATAGAAAAGGGATTGTGACAATAACTGGAAGCAATATTCCAAATGTGGCCTCGCTAGTCAGAGGTGGTAATCAGCAGGTTCTGACCCAGTTCTGGAGAACCGGTAGCGGAAATTTTGAGAAGTTCGGAAAACCAACAAATACCACCTCTGACTGGAGATTTTACAGTATCCTTGCCCTGCCACACCCACCAAGCCATGCCCACAAAACTGGTAGTAAAATTTTTTGAGTCCTACCACTGTCACTGGTACAGTATAGAGTGGTACTATCACTTTCTTTGATCTTGATACTATTCCTCTCTTGATGCAGTGCAGCATACTGCTGAATGATACTTAATAGTAGTCCACTAGGATAGCGGTCGCCAACTGGTGGATCTTGGCCCACTGGTGGGCCGTGAGAAAATTTCGGTGGGCCGCAGCACGCTGAGGTGGGGAAGTGGGGCAATTCTGCAGTCTCCCCGTGTGGTGGCTGCTGCCTCCTGCCTCAGCGCATCGAGGAGGCCAAGCAGCAGCGGGAAGAGGGCAGACCTCCTGAGCCGCAGGAAGCAGCTGCCCTCAGGTGAAGATGTTGTGAGAGGGAGGCTCGACCCCCTCTTCCTCCTCACCAGAACACGCTCAGCGGGAAAGAGGCGACTTGTTGGGGGCCAGAGGAATGGTGAACGCTTTGCGTGTGAGCGCTTCTGGTGAGGAGGAAGAGAAGCTCCTTGGGGGGGGGGGCACAGGAGATTGCACCCTCTCCTCACAGGCCAGGAAACACCCAGGAATGCCACGATCCCCCACACCCCTGCCCTCAGGAGCTTTGATTTCTCCTCGCCAGAAGCACTCACACACTCAGCGGGAAGGAGGCAGCTTGTCGGGGGCCAGAGGGGTGGTGAGCACTTTGCGTGTGAGCGGTTCTGGCGAGGAGGAAGAGAAGCAACATCTTCCCCTGAGGGCATTGCTGGCAGTCGCTCAACCTCCTCAATGTGCAGAGGTTCCTTTCCCCTCACACCCCCCTCCCTAACAGGCCAGGCCTATGCCATGATCTCCTGTGCGTATAAGTCCGTCTGCCGTCAGTATCATCCCTGTTGCCCCATCTTCCCGACAGCCATCTGGTCTTCAGCACGTGGCTCGTCAGCCCAGAATGGAGGTTGCCTGCTGTGCTGAACCGTGCATGCCTGTGTCCGCTGCTCTTCCCAGCAGGGGGAAGCGACCCCTCTCGGCTTGGACTCTGGGTTTGTGACTGGTATGTATTAACTGGGACAAGGATGACTTTGCCTCACCCACGGGACCATGAAGTAGCAGCTGCCAGCTCCTTTCTCCACATGCCAAGTCTTACCACGGGAAAGAGAGCAGCTGGGGTATCAGTGTAGCTGCTCAGTTAGTTCTATATTGCCCTAGCAGGAGAAGGAGGTGCTGGAGGAGGAGGAGGAGGCAGTAGTGGAGAAGCAAACCAGGTGTTGAAGACCTGGGTGGGGGGGAGGCTTCCAGGTGGGGGGAGGCTTCTAGCCTGGCCCTCCTTCCCTCCCCAACTCCAGGCAGCCACACCTGGCAAAGGAGGGAGAGGTTTCCTCTGATTTGAGGGAGATATGAAATGACAGGAGACCAGTTTGGGGGGGGGGGTTTCTGCTTTCCTTGTTATATTTTTTGTTATAATTAAATAAATATTTTATATTTAATATATATATTTATATATTAAAATTAATTTTTAAATAGTACATTTATATTTAATATAAAAAAATAAAAACAATATTAAATATATTATCTTTTTTTAAAAATTCATATTAGCGGTCCTCTGGATTTAAAAGTATGAGTTTGGTGGTCTCTGAGGTCCAAAAGGTTGGCAACCCTGCACTAGGACACTTAGATCTCTCTCGTAAGCATGACTGTTTAACCAGGTACTGCCTATAAGTATTTGTGCATTTGCTTTTTTTCTGCCTAAGTGTCAGGTCCCTATCGAAAGTGTCAGGTCCCTATCGGAATGCTGCCATTCTGAAAGGGAGGGGGAAGCATTGTGTGTGGACCTCATAGTTTGCATGCTTTCACTTCGGCTGTAGCTGTAACTGCTTGGGAGCTTAAGGAAGGGAAAGATCTCACCATCTGCATCAACTCCCTCTTGACCCGTCTGGGCCGGGGATCCAAGGTCACAGAGCCCTGTGGGCGAGCTCTTACCCTCCACCTTCAGAAATTTCCTAAACACCTTGCAACGTGTTATTAGTTGATGATGGACACAAGGCATCAGGGTTGGGAATGAAAGGGGGATAATAGCCTAGTGCCTGGGTCCTCAAACTTTTTAAACAGGGGGCCAATTCAGACTGTTGGTGGGGGGGCGAACCAGAAGAGCAAATGGAGGTGGGGAAGAGAAACCAGGACATGGAATGCTTGATGGGTACAGAGATGAGACTGGCTCCTGGGGCATCTTCTGCAGGTTCCCCTTCAATCCTGGCAGTGCCCTGGGATACCTCCTTGAATTCCATTCCATTCCATCCTATTCCCATTGCCATTCCCACTCCATCCCATTGCCATTACCACTCCATCCTATTACTATTGCTATTCCATCCCATCCCATCCTATTCCTATTCCCATTCCATTCTTTCCTATTTCCATTCCATTCCATTCTCTCCTATTTCCATTCCATTCCATTCTATTCTATTTGCATCGCGGTGGTCTCAACCCATTTTTGGAATCTCACTGGCTGCCCCAGAGCTTCCTCTGCACGTGCCAAATCCAAGCAACAGGCTCCAGCAAAGGATCCCCATGTCTGGAAGGCAGGATCAGACCAGGCAGGCATTGCTTGGAGCAGATCTGGCAAGGAAGCCCCAAGGCAGGGACTCTGTGGCACTGATCTGCTGGCCAGCCAGCCCTTCCTACCTCAATCTCCAGGGGCGGAGATGGCTGTCCTCTTTTGGGGGCTGGCAGCCTCACCAGCAACTGCCCCGGAAATGCTGAGTGGGAGAAGGACGGGCAGCCAAGTGACTGTGTGTGTGTGCCTCCCCAGCCTCCAGTAGCACTCTGCCAGCCAAAAATGAGATGCACAGAGGCACCCCGCGGCCTCCGCTTGTCCCGTTTTTGGCTTTCTTGGCCTCCAGAAGCCTTCTGCCAGCCAAAAACGGGCCCATTTTTGTCCTTGCCTGCCTCCAGTAGCTCTCTGCCTTATCTTCCAGTTCCAGCTCGTGAAGGTACGTCCTGTGCTTGGCTGAAAGGAGAGTCATGTGAGAGAGGCAGCCTCATGGTCCCGTGCAGGCTGGATTAATGGTTTCAGTGGGCCGTATCCAGCCCACAGGCCATAGTTTGAGGACCCCTGGCCTAGTGCTTTGTCCTGAATTTTGCACTCTACCTGACTTCTCTGTAATCGCTATCTCTCAGTAGAAGTTCCTTTTGAAATGTAAATTGCTTCAAGAGTTTTACTTTCTTGGGGAAGGTAGCTCAGGCAGGTCTTTACATTAGACAGGATCTCCAAATTGGTCAACCCGGAGAGGCAACTGCTCTACCAAAGGGATTGTGCAAACGATGTCAGCCCAAGGCAGCGACCAAGGAGAAACTGAATGCTGATGGATGGAGGGAGGAGGCTGCTAGCCTGGGGGGACTCAGCCAAGCCTAGATGGTCCATAGGCATTGGGGAGAAAGATGACTGGGACGGGAGAACAAAAGGAGTCGTCCTCACCAGAGGCAGTCGTCGGAAAGAATGGAGAGAGGAGCTGACAATGCTGGAGAATGAGGAAGAGAAAGGGGGTGAACCCAACTGTGCCGATCTCCTTATGAGGCAAGCCATGTGATTCGTGATAGATGCTTTTCAAAATCTGAAAGCAAGAGAGGCCCGGGCTTGCATGTCAGGGAGCAATGGGCATTGGAATCAGCCAGAGGAAAGGGATTGAGAGCCCTCATCCTTGGATACCATGGCTGCAGTGATGCCCCTCCCACCCCCGGCAGGGACAGCAGCAATAGTGGGAACCCCACAGAGAGATGCAGGGTCCGGGAATGCCCTAAGGCTGAGAGATAGTGCAGCCCCTACAGGTGGAAGCCTGTTCTGTATTAACATACTCCAAATCCTGAAACCTGATTGGCCCACATGGGCCGCAACCTGATTGGATAACTAAACATGTTATTGGCGCGCTTAGAATCTACCGCGATTGGCGCGCTTAGAATCTACCGCGATTGGCCGAGCCGATCGCGGGAGATTCAAAGCGCTGTCATTGGCCGCTGCGCCGCGGACAGCTCCTATATGAAGGGCTGCCGCGAAGCGCAGGTTTTGTACAG